GCCCCGGGGGAGCAGCGCACCGAGCGGGAGGAGGAGCCTGGCCTTCCCAGAGTGAAGCTGGGGGGGAGGGCTTCTGTGTCTCCCCTCCCCCCCAGGTCCAGGGGGAGCAGCTGTTGTGGGGGGGTCTCTTTCCTTAACCCCACCGGAGGGGTACGTAGGGGGAGAGCTTCCTCATTCCAGCGCATGCTCCCTCGGCCTTGTGGGGGCCAAGAGCCCCCTTCCCCCCTGGAGTTTCCCCTCCCCACTCACTGGGTTGCCCTTCCCCCCTATAGGGGGTGGTGAGCCCGTGTGCTCCCCCCCGGCTCTGTGTGAGGGAGAGGGGAGACCAGCCCCCACCCCGTGCCGGTGTTGCAGCCCCCCTACTGTGTGCAATCTTCATTCCTTCCTCCCCTTCCCATTGGGGTGGGGGCTAGGCCTGTGTCCCCCTCCCCACCTGGACCGGCGAGGGAAAGGTTACACGCTTCCTTGTCTTCTTTCAAGCTGCTCCTCACTCACTCCGCCCCCCCTCCCCCACCCCGCAGACGGCAGAGAATGGGATATTTAGGATGCCGGACTCCCCTGGTCCCCAGTCCCTGATATGGGAGGGGATAGCGGAGGAGGGGCAGAGCAGCAGAAGTGCCAGGGAAAGCAAGAGACGCGCGGATACCGAAGGGAAAGGTGTTTATTGCTCTTGGTCTCTTGTCAGTTATTGGTGCGGTGGTTGTTGCTTGTGCTCTCTTGCCACATAGTGACCGAGGAACCTCAAGGCGCATGCTCCCCTGCCCCATAGAAACTTCCTGCTGCTAGAGAATCCCAGCTCAGGGCTGCTTCTGGTCCAACCCCCAAACCACCATCCAGCCCCCTTCCATGTGTATTTATTGCAGATCGAATCTACGGTTTGTTCTGAGGAAAATTTTTGCTTAGGCAGTGCAAGTATTATGTTAGTATGCTCATGACATCCAAGAACAAAACCAAACATCAGCTAAGATTCATTTAGTTACCGCCTCCTTAAGATGTCCAGTATCACTTTTTTAATGCAAACAGACACTTCGAAGTGCAGTGACTATTACACAGGTCTGCAGTCTACACTACTACTTTCTCAAATAAAAGTATTTTTCCTGCTTTTCCAAAGCTCCAGAGTGACTTTTATATGTAAAGGGGTATTATAAAAGAGGCATTAAACTCAAGATGACTGCAGTAAAAAGTAAACTAATAGAATTTGTGGTGGAAAATTAAAAATCATATTTAAAGTTTTCAATTTTTAATTTATGGTCTTGTAAGTAAGTTCTGCATTTTTTTTAAAATCTGACTTTTAACCTTAAAGTGATCTTTTAATATGCATCAGTAAAACACTTTTTAATAGACAGTGATAACCACTTTATAGTTTATTAATTGTAAATTGAGAGCTTCCATATTGAATTGTCTCTAAGATGGTGTTACATGATTTCAGCCCACTCCTGATCCCATAGATCTTCAGGAAGAATGGGAAGTAAAGCAATACATTTTTGTGTATGCCAGTACTGGAAGAAATTTGAACACTTACTAAAAAAAGTTAAGCTAGTGATTTTTGAACATGTATTCAGACAAGGTTAAAGATGTGTATGCACCTGTTTATGGTGGGGGAGTCTTTCAGAGAGGGAAATTTATAAAGATGGAAAATAAAAGTCTAGATGATGGTCTTTTAGGATTCTGAGGGAAATTATGTGGCGGTTATGTCAAAAGGGGAAAAACCCTACTGAGCATTGTTTCTGAGAACTGTTGTCCTCTGCTTATGTTGTACTCTTGTTATCCTATCAAAAGATGCACCCTTATATTTATGTAATACTGTTCTGAAGGG